GTATGCAAGCTCTGAGACAGGACCTAAGACTCCGTATATGTTTGGTTTTTATTGGGATCCTAATAAAATGGCAAATTGACATCTGAAGAAGAATTCAGTTTGGATCACAGGTTACTGAAATCCTCCAACTCAGGAACTTTCTACAATGGAGATAGGAACCAGCACTTTTTGAACTCTGTTGGACACCACTGCAGAACCATAACTGGTGACAATGACAGCCTTTCACAATAAGCTGGATTCAATAATGTCTCACAAGTTGATAAAGTGGTCTGACAGAGGACCTGAATGGTGGAAACTGTGCCTAAAAAAGCGAGCAGAGAATAAAACTTACCAGTTATGTCTCCTTGCAGCTGATCTTTTGCTCATTACTGACATGTCTTGTACCACACTCTCTTTGTAGAGGCAGCCATCTTGTTAGGGGAGAAGGTGCCTTAGATTATTCCACACTACAGACATACAGGTTTGACGTACAAGACATAGGAGTGCCTAGGCACAGGGAGTGCACTTTGTATAGGAGAAATCCAAGACGATATGTAGATAGTTTACTGCATAGGCACCATGACCATTGCTATATGTTTCCTTTAAGATAGCAAATCTTCACTTTTTGACTTCAGGTCCATAGAGAATGCTGACACCTTGCAACCTTCTGGCACATGGCAGAGAAATGCCATGTGCCAGAAGGTTGTGTTTTTTTTTAGTGTTTTTTTTTTTAATAGAGCAACGGGCTTTAGATGGTTTCTGAGGGTTTTGGAATCTACTTTCAACTATCCTGGACCTATTCTTGTACCAAAAAATGTCTCCTCATTAGTCTAATATTTTTCCTTTTTTTTACAGAAAGAAAAAAAGAAGAGACAGTGAAAAAAAGGACAATTACAAGTTAAAAGCAAAATTACACAAAGAAAATAATCAAATACATGAAAAAGGAAAAAACACAAAGAACACTAAATGTCATAAATTACACTTCCCTAAATATTAGGGATGCACCTATACTGATACTAGTATCGGTGCCAATACTGAGTATTTGGGCGAGTATTCCACTAGAAAATGTTTGTTAAAAGTCACATTCACTGCTTAATAAATAGAACCCTTTACAGGCATTAGAAAATCGGTGAGTCAGTGAACAAAGGGGGACCTCCCTCTTACTGTCAATGTTGACGGAGTGCCGAGGGAGCATGAATTGGCTAGGAAGCCGGCTTCACTTGTTGTTAGGCAGCCTGGTTTCCTAACCAATCAGGAAGCCGAGCGGCACTTAATGACCCACATCCCGGCTTCCTCATTGGTCAGGCTGCCTGAGAACAAGTGAAACTGGCTTCCTAGCCAATCAGGAAGCTGGGAGGCAGGTCATGACATGCCGCCCGGCTTCCTGGTTGGCTAGGAAGCCAGCTTAATTTGTTGGTAGGCAGCCTGGCTTCGTAACCAATCAGGATACCGGGGGGCATGTTATGACTCGCATCATGGCTTCCTGGTCAGGAAGCCACGCTGCCTAGAAACAAGTAAAGCCGGCTTCCTAGCCAATAAGGAAGCCTCAAGGTGGGTCATGATCCGCCTCCCGACTTCCTAATTGGGGCACCGGTACTAGATACTGAAAAAACGGTATCCTTGCATCCCTACTAAATATAAACTTCCCTCCTTCAACACAAAGTACCCTATGAATAAAGCAAATGTGGTGTAAGCAGCTCATAGGGCAGAATGATAGAATGCTTTTTTGCATGTGCTTGTGTGGGTTTCCTCTGGGTACTCCGGTTACCTCCCACACTCCAAAGACATACTGGAAGGTTAATTGGCTCCTGTCTAAGGGGGCCCTGTATGTGTGTGCAATAGGGACCGTAGATCATAAGCTTCTTGAGGGCAGAGTCTGATGTGAATGTTTGTATGTAAAACGCTGCGTAATTTGTCAGCACTACATAAATACCTGTAATGTAATAAAGAAGAACTCTGGGTAAACATTTTCTTAACCCTTGCAGTGAGGCTACGCCTGCACTGGCAGGGTTAAGTGCTTGTTTTTATCTAGGGAGCTAATATAACAAAGTTATTCTCTCCTGATCCTTGGAGCTGGCTGACTGTTAGAGTGCTCCCTCCAGCCCATCTCCTCCTCTGCTCCAGCGATGGACTGTCCCTCGTGGGGCATAACTACAGATCATGGGGCCCCATAGCAAACTTTTTATGCCACGGCAACCCCTTAAAATCTAAATCAAGGACAGGAAGCAGAAGAGCTGGCTGCATGGCCTCCTCCTGTACATCTGATGTCAGCTCTTCTTGATTGGAAATGTCATAGCGGGTACAGAGTCAATGGCAACTTCTGCAATCTTTAATGTGGTCCCCTTCCACCCCCAGGCCCCATAGCAGCCTTGTGGGCTGCTATGGCTATTGTTAGGTCACTGGTCCCTGGGCGTCCATACATCAAATACAGTATATTGGACTTAATGATTCACAGGACCTCCTGGAGCGGAGGCTTCAGGTACCGGCTCTCCTGTCTGGATGACCACACACAAAGTGAGGAAAATTCTTCCACACACTGTCTAGAATTTAAAAAAAAGTTTGGCTGGACTTGCACATGTAGGAACTTTCTCTGGTCAAAAAAATTTTCTATAAATGAAACATAATCACAAACCTTATTAAAGTGAAAATTAGCCAAGTACTAGATTTCCTACATAACAATATCATCCTATTGTTTCTCTGTTAAAAAAGTACCTTTTTTTTTTCCTTTTGCTTCTAATTGCCATGTGCGTGTGCAATGTTGTCGTTGACCTAAGTGTTGTAGGTCTTCCTCAATGTACTACAATTGAATTGGTCTGAGCCAGGGAATATAACTCTCCCACTATGCAATGTTTTCTTTGCTCAGCTGATAAGCAATTTTGCCAATCACCATGGCATGGGTACCCCAGGTAGAGGTGGAGGCACATGGTCTAAAAGGGTGCCTGGTTTTGTGGAGCTGTCTTCTCATTGCACTTATAGCAGTTAACTTTGGTTGTACTTACTGATTTTAGGTGCTCCAAATTTTACATGAAAATGAAAGCTGTCATTAGATAGAATTTACCTTTGAATATATATTATTTAGAATTCACCATTTGCGGTTGTAGTTCCAGTTCCTCCAAGGCACACTCTTTTCAGTGATGTTGGGATGAGCTCAGTATAGATTGTTTAGTTTCACTCTGAGAATGCTGCAGTCCGGACTGCCCCCTACCACCCTCCTCCTCTTCTGGTTAATAAAAAGCAGGATTTATCACGTCTATGACTCCCAATTGGCTCCTGTGCAGACCTAGAAAAAAGACAAATCAATACTACTTTGTGAGTCCTGCCTGTTGAGTAAAACATCTCAGCTCCTGGCACACATATCACCAGCCTTCCTGCCACCCAGACCCTGCAACTTCTTTGGAGGGGTAGAAGATGCTTACAAGGCTTATCACCGTGGTGGTCCTGGGAGCACTGTTCCCTCTTCAGGTTAGTAATCTCTGATCTGGTCTGGCTGAGCTTCACAAAATCTAAATCATTCTTGAAATCATGGAACTCTGGTAGCCCACATTGATCTAAATTTTGACAATTCTGATGCCACCCATTTGGTGTGAAACTACTTGACAATAAATACAGTAGATCATTTCCACCTGTCAGATCCTTCATTGTGTAGGTTAGAAGATTTTGCTGGTTTCTATAGATCTTTTCTTACAGTGCTCATATAAGTTGCCACTTCAGAGAGTCAGGCTGACATGTACAGTACAGTTCTTCTGTGGTGGGCCAAAAGTCTCATCTGAGAATCGTCAAATGCTTGGAGACTCAGATGAGATGTCTTCATGTATAGGTACTTCCATTCCCAGTCTTCAGAATAATACACTTATTTTAAGAGTCTGGAAAATATATTCAATTTCTTTAGTTAAATATGTAATCCAGGAAAGAATAAGTCCAAAACCATCTTAGCATATTTGCTGCTGCACATGAAACCACCGCAGGTTTGGGAGTTTATATCTTGGCTGTATTTTATGGAATACTTTCTCAAGAAGGCTAAAGATTTTTATAATTGCAGCATTAGGTATATGATCAGGACTTATTCTTTCTTGGGTTACATGTATCTACATTTTCCTGTTTACTAAAGTTCATGGCACCCACGTCAGACCAGGAGAGTGAGATGGATTGGTGAGAGCATTAAATGATTACTCCATTTACCTCTGCCTGCTTTGGACTGACCAGTGAGTGTGGTTTGCTCGGTTATGCCTCATATTTTGGCTTTTGTTGACTAGTTAGTAGCATATACTGTCCTAAGCACAACTTGATGTACTTTTTTTGTAACACAACATAGTCTGCAAAATATCAGTTTGTGGCAGAGTGGTGCGTACAGTCTATATTCCATACAGTGTCTGTTAATGGGAAGATGAAACGAGAATCCAGCAAACATGTTGAGAACGTATACATGTAGATTTATAGCTTAAAGACAAAACTTTTTTTAGATTCGGATAGAATGGTGAGGGGTTACAATCACTGGCCGGGGTTTTTTTTTTTTTGCCATTTTTGTCCCCTTAAAGGAGATTCACTCCCTAATTGTCCTGATCACTAATGTTACCAGGAATTAAAGTGATGGGCGTCCAAATTTTGAACAACCACCAACAGGAATAGAAGGGAAATTTTCTAACGGGGGACACTGGTTCTCATCACATCTTTTTAAGATGGGATTTCCTTCACATTGCAAAGATATCTTCTCACTTGATGAAGAGCCTACAGGACAGAACGTGAAGGAAAAACTCCCTAATGGGACACAAATGGCGAAAAAAAACCCAACAGTGGTTTTAATCCTTCCCTACACTATTTAAAATGAAAAAAGTTTTACCTTTAGATATACTTGAAATGTATTTTCTATCAATTATCATTATTTTCTTTAATTAAGACAGTCTTCTCTCTCGTAATTTCAATCTGTAATCACAAGTTCACGCTGCTCTACCGCTGTTCACATGTCACAGTGCTTGCACAGTTTACTAAGCCAGCTCATATTTGTGTATATTTTGGTTCTGCAGGTTGTAGGGTACACCACAATAAAGCAGGAGGGGTTTTGTAGCCTGTACAACGAATGCGGCAGAAATCCTGAAATTACCAACAGCCTGATCCCACCTATCATGCCTTGTTTATCCAACACTCCAGCCAGGAAGCTCAATGGAACTCATCTACTATATTTCCAGGAGGTCTGTCCGATGCTTTACAATGGAGATGACAATACTTATGCCTGCTGCTCTATCCCGCAGCTGGAGAGTATCAAGAAGAGCTTTGCATTATCTCAGGTCATTCTAAATCGATGTCCATCTTGTGCCCAAAACTTTGCCAATATCCATTGTCAGAACATTTGTGGCCCAAATCAAAGTTTATTCATCAATGTCACACGAACAGTTGATGTCATTGTAGATGGGAAGCCTGAGAAAGGTGTGTTGGCCCACGAATGCTACTACAAGCGAGAATTTGCAGAAAAATCATTTGACTCCTGTAGGAATGTACGATTGCCCTCCACAGGGGGTTTTGCCATTTCTACCATGTGTGGGAAATATGGAGCAGAATTTTGCTCAGCTCAGCGGTGGTTTGACTTCCAAGGGGATAACAGCAATGGACTGGCACCTTTAGCAATTGATTTCATTTTTACGGAAAATGACACTGTGGTTGGTGGTGGCGTGGAACCCCATAATAGCAAAGTATGGAGCTGCAATGAAGGCCCGGGAAATGATCCAGATAATGCTTGCACTTGCCAGGACTGCAAAGAGTCATGTCCTAGCATCGCTGGACCTAAACCTCTGCCTGACCCATTTAAGATAGGGTCTGTTGATGGGTACTTAGTAATAAGCAGTGCCCTTTGTGGAATCTTAATCTTTTTTTTCATCATGTTCCTGATTATGACATGTGCTGTTAATAGCTGTGGAAAAAAGAAAAGGAAAGAAATACCACATATCAAATATTCTGATCTAAACTGCTCAGAAAAGATAAGCTTAAAGACTAACCGCTCCATGGAGAAAGCCTTCCAGTGGTGGGGCACCCGCATAGCTTCTTACCCTAAGACTGTCATCTGTGTCTCATTAGTTCTGGTTGTGGTACTCTCAGCAGGTATGGCCCTGATCAAGCTGACTACCAATCCAGTGGAACTGTGGTCTTCTCCAAACAGCAGGGCAAGACAAGAGAAAGACTTTCATGATGCACATTTTGGACCATTCTTTAGAACTAACCAGCTGATTATCACAGTCAACGATCGGTCTTCATACATCTATGACTCTCTCTTTTTTGGCACCCTGAACTTCAGCAGAATCCTTTCTCCAGATACTATTCTTGAGATGATGGACCTTCAGACCAAGCTGCAGAACATTTCGGTAAGTAAGTCAGTGCAACGTGTTGTGATTGATAATCCCTCTAAGCCTACTATAACATTTAGTTATAATATATAGTTAATGCCGCTTTTGTGCTTCACATGGATTTGTTTAGTAATCAATAACCTTTTACATTTTTGGAATCTCTCTTAAGGTGACCAAATTCTTGAAGTATTACAGAAAATATTTTGATTGTTTTATCTTTTAACACTTTTGTTTATTGACTAGACTACACTACATTGAACATTACTGAGGTGCCTTCAGCCTCTTCTATGGTGACTATGAACCAGCGAATGGCAGAATCTCTCACAAATAGATTTATTTATTACAGATGTTTATATAGCGATGACAATTTATGCAGCACTTTACATAGTTGCACATTCACATCAGTCCCTACTCTCAGGGAATTTACAATCTAAGGTCCCTATCTCACATGCATACATAGAGGGCCAACTTAGAGAGGAGCCAATTAACCTACCAGCATGTCTTTGGAGTGTGGGGTGAAACCGGAGTACCCGGAGGAAACCCACACAAGCACAGGAAGGACATGCAAACTCCTTGCAGATAGTGACCTGGCTGGGATTTTAACTGGGGACCCCCAGTGATGCAAGGCAGAAGCTAACCACTACGCCACTGTGCTGCCCTAGATCAGCTTTGATGACCTAGCAATATGAGTAACAAATTCTTTCTTCGTTCTTAGTACTTACAGTCTTTCTGCAGGCACTTAAGAGCAACACATGAGTGTGGCAACTTAGGAGTTTTGTGGGACACTTCCTAGCAAAAATACTAAGAAAAAGAAAATTAAGCACAACGGTGATAATTCAAGGTTTGGGGTAATTTGTTTAGTAATGCAGCTAGGCTTTTTGCACCTTGACGACAGAATTTTCATATCCCCTTTCTGCTCCATTCAAATTTTTAACAACTCCACTTTTGGGGCATACAGTTTACCACACATGGTTTGTTAAGATGAAGCATCAGGGGTTTGGGAGAGTTATAGCAGATCTGAAAATGTCACAGTCCTGAAAGGCTAGGAGTGTTGCCTGTTAACATATATGGTAAAGTAAATTCCTTATTTATGTTCTTTAGTGACCTTAAAAAAACTTAAATTGCAAAAGAAAAACGAAAAGCATTTTTAAACTGACAATAGAGAACTGTAAAGTCACGAACACTATATGGTGCTATGACAAAACACTACTGGTGTCCCTTCTGCATCTCATACCATGTTATCTGTTAAAACAAATGATGGTCTGGCAGCCATCAAGCACTTGTGGGGTAGGATGTTGGCAATGTAGGAAAAAAAACTGCAGGTGATCTGATGATAAGAATTATGTAAATCTTGGGAACAAAGTTCAAACAAAAAGAGATTGGCCTCCCCATGAAATAACTGGGACAAAGACGAAATAAGAAAATTATGTGAGGCAGGACTCAGAACTAGGGGATGTATGTTAGCAGTTCAGCTCTATTTACTCATCTCATAGTCACTGCACTAGAATTTAGACAATAGTGAGATTCATTCATGTTTACTATAATGAAATGACTATGACTAGTGATAGCGCTACTATCTGTGTACACGCATTGCTCAATAGTTTCGCTCAGTAGCTAACTGTATTGTTTGGTTGCAGTGAATAAACAGTAGCTCCTTGCTGTGCAATAACAGTGAATAAATATACATTGGACTGGCTCCCCAGTAATGCAGATCAATAAGCAGAAGTGACTAAATGTAGTTGAAAACATATCACAGTGTGAGTCACCTGTGCAAAGTGCACATTAGTAGCTTAAAAGCTCCATATAATGCTATACATTTAATTGAGGGACTCGCTTGACATAAATTCAGTCAGTCCTTGAAATAATAGGCTGCATGTATCATGCAAGAATGCCATTTAGTTCAGTAGATACGCTACATTATTACATGGCTATTGACAGTAGTAACAACAATATTCAGGCAGATATGGAAAAAAAAAAAATAGATGTTTGTCTGCATTAAAATATACGTGATTTAATGTTTACATGCAACTACCTTAATTACCCCAATTGATCTCAATATCAGTCCCTGTAACCCCTGGGCAGTAGCATAAGCAGCATGCTGATAGAATGAGAGAAAAGAGTGAGCAGAAAGATGGCCTCTTCACTGTACTGCTGCTCCTTCATTGTCAAATTAGTAAACTGAGATCTGAAGATCCTTGACCAGTCTGTGCTACTGCTGAAGTTGAGGTCAAGGCAGCATCTGGCTGTGTTATAAGGGAAGGGATGTCTGGATTGAGCTACAGGTTACACAGGATTACAAATCTTGTGCCTGGTGAAAAAGTTCCCATATGCATTCTGAAGACATATTTAGCTGTTTGTCTGAAATTCAGTTTTAAGGAAGAAGATTATAATCTCATTGGCAACTGGAGGGGGTTAATCAAAATGGCAGCACCCAGATTTCATCTAGAATTATGCTTATTGTAATAGTTTAAGACAGAGCTGTTCATACACAGTCCACAAGCTAATCAGGGGCAAAATTAAGCTCTTGTGTTTTGTGTTGAGGGTCAAACTTTGGGATGATTAGGAGTGTGTTGCACCTGCTTGAGTGAGTCATAATGCTGGGTCTATGATGACCTGTTCTATATAAAGGCTCTATAAAGCTCTGTTCTACATGTAGGGTTTATGATGACCTGTTCTACATAAAGAGTCTATGAAGTCCTGTTCTACATGTAGGGTTCATAAAGACCTGTTCTACATGCAGTGTCTGTAAAGACCTGGTCTACATGTAGAGTCTCTTGATGACCAGTTCTACATGTAGCATCTATGATGACCTGTTCTAAATGCAGTGTTTGTAAAGACCTATTCTACCCGTAGAGACTCTTGATAACCAGTTCTACATGTAGGTCCTATGATGACCTGTTCTACATGTAGGGTCTCTGTTGATCAGTTCCAACTGACCAGATGCCATTTATAGGTTAGACAAATCCTCTTCTACCCAACTGAACAGTTAGAAAGCTCCATTGCATTACTATATCATATAGCTATAGCAAATTGATAAATATAAGTACTTGCAATCTTTTCTTAGCCAAGGCTCCATCTTTAAAATGGTAGTAAACTGGAATTTGTATTTTACTTATGTCATATACTGTATGTGTAGCATGTGTGTTATTTGTATGTTTAATAAAATGGACCACCCCACCTAATATTTTGTGTCGGCCACAGAATATTCTTCACTGTAGTTCTGCATAAGTATGTGAATACGATTTGTATGCAAACATTTTTAAACCAAAACTGTCAATAAGAGGTATTTTGGGTACTCAGTAAGTGTCTTACTGGCCAAGTGTAATCATTCTTCCACTATGGTAGATAATGGTTTCCTGTCTTTTTTCCCTTGCAGGTGTGGTCAGAAAAGCATCAGAAGACTGTGAAACTGAAAGATGTTTGCTTTGCACCCTTAAACCCCTCCAACCCTTCAGACACGGACTGCTTTGTGAACAGTCTGGGGCAATACTTTCAGAACAACAAGACTCGGTTTAACATGGAAGTGACACAGACAATATCTGGAGAAACGAAAAAAGTGGGGTGGAGGGACCACTTCATGTACTGCGTCAAGTGAGTTGGGGTACACATAATGAGTGCCACATAAAAATAGCCAGATCAACACTATGCACAAAATTCTCCCTAATCTGGATTGGATGTATTGATGCCTTAACATAACCCAAGCATATACAGACTTTATTTTCTGTACAAATACAGACATTGTAATGGATCCACATATATTGGTGCTTTACTTGCTCCCTTGTTGCATTCATGCTGAGCTTGTTCACTGCAAGTGGAGTGGAACTCAGCTGCCACATAAGATTTAAAGAACCCAATATACAATAGAATCAGAATCAAGTGTGAACCTCAGTGCAATGTAAATACATCTAATCGTAGATGGTTTTCTGGTATATTCATATAAAACTGGTGCTAACGATTTATTGTTGTAATCTTCTGGCATCATTAGAACATGGACACTCACCTTTTGAAAAAAGCAGATAGGTGTTAGTAGTAGAGTGTTAAAAATCTTTGTATATATCTGTAGACTCCCTATAGGCTTATTTGGGGCAGGGGTGAAGGCATTGTGCTCCATGGCTCCTAACAGGCCAGAAATATTGAATGAGGGTGTCGGGGTTAGAGATCAGTACAAAGCCCAGTCTGATTTCAGCTTTCCTTTTCCCTTGAATTTTCTTTCCAGCTCCCCGCTGTCTTTTAAGGATGTTACGGATTTAGAGCTGAGTTGTATGGCGGATTATGGTGCTCCTGTCTTCCCATTCCTGGCTGTGGGTGGCTATGATGGTAACAACCTCTCTTTATGTACCAGCATTTCACAATACACTTATATATTAACATTATGAAGACCTGTCAAACCTAAAGGATTTCATAGCTGAACTGGAAAGTGAGGTGAATAGGAGAATGTTTCCAGTTCAGCTTTGTTGTCCTAGATTGTTCACTTCTCCTGCCTTCTCCAAACTCTTCACCCTTTTGTGAATAACCCTGTAATAGTTTGGACACTATATAAATACAAAGAGATTTATAAGATATCTATAAGATATTTATCTATAAGATATTTATCTATAAGATATTTAAAAAAAAACACCTTGTAGTCATTTTTAAAAAAAAATGGGCATTATGGGCAACGGTTAGAACTTCTATATTGTTGGATGTGTCCTTTGCTGCCTTTCTGTACGATCTGCCCATCTTGGACAGGCAGATCGTACTTGCGATCATCGCAAGCCCGCCCCGCTGAGTGGCGGGCTTCCGATGACCGCAATGCTGAACGGGCAGTGTGCGCGTGCGCACACCGGCCCGTTCGCCATTTGTCTCCGGAGCATGCCACAAACCAGCCGAAAATCGTAAGATTTTCGGCTGGTTTTCGAACATGCTCCTTAGACAAAAGACGTGCTACCGTACAGTAAAAACGGTTGCACGCCTTCCATACACTTTGCGATTATCGTACGATCGCGGGATTTCCCGCAATTATTTGTGCGATAATCGCACAGTGTATGGGCACCTTAACAGTGCAGCAGGCAGCAAAAAAAGCCAGCCAATGGCAGCCAATCAGCTTCTTGCTTCAGTTTGTTCAGTTAATATTTGAAAATGAAAGAGAGAGGCTGATTGGTTGCCATGCACAGCTGTTTCAGATTTTCTCTGCTCCGGTTTTGATAAATTCCCTTCAGTATGTACATAATTCTCACAGTTCCAGAGAGGACATCAGGAAAACACCTAGGTCAATACATCATAGGATGTCCCTTTTTTAAACCATAATTCTCTTTTCCTAACAATATTTCCCTGTCTCTGTGTGTCCTGCAGACAGTAAATACTCTGAGTCAGAAGCTCTGATTCTGACCATCTCACTGAACAATTTCGACCGATCCGACCCCCGGTTTGACTATGCGATGCTTTGGGAGGAGGAGTTCCTGAAAATCTTGAAAGAGTATAAGAATGACCCCAAGAGTAACTTTACTTTTGCCTATATGGCAGAGGTGAGTGGTGCCATAACGTGACCTTCTTTATGTCCTATTTGTATATTTTGTGTGCATCTTCTCCAGATCCCGACCACCTCTACTTTGTCATTTGCTTCCTATTCCTCCGTTTGGTCTGGATCTTACTGTGTTTGCTCAAATTTTTCTGTCTTTTCAATTTCTACCTGCCCTGTTCTATGGAAATGCAATATTCTGAGCCCCCTGTTTTATCTTTCAACAGCGATCTCTGGAGGATGAGATCAGTCGAACCACCACTGAAGATATTCCCATATTTGCCATCAGCTATCTGGTGATCTTCATATATATATCACTGGCCTTGGGGGAGTACAGTAGCTGCCGGAGAGTGCTGGTGAGGAAAGAGTCTAATGGAAATAATATCATTGTATTTACTACAGCTGAATATTTTTGGTTTGCTTTAAACTATTGGCCTGTGGCAAGCACTCTTCATCTACTGAAACATAAGTCACTGCAAACTCGGTGTTTCAAATATTCTACTGGCAACAACTATATTGCATGTACAGGACAACAGTCACACTACCTGCAAATCCAACATCCTTCAATCACAGCTCTTGTGATAATTTAATTCCTTGCAACAAATACATACCCCACATTCTCTACTGCCACGCTCCCTGCAAGCTCCACAATCACACCTTTTGTGCTTCCAAACAGGACAGCCTTATGTTCTGCAATACAGTGAAATGTAAAATTATACAGCCATCAATGCAGAATGGCACCGGCTATAGAGGACTACAAATCCCAGCAATACTACATACAGTGTACAATGTGGGCACTTGCCAGGTTTAAAGATGGCCGCCGCGATTAGCTCTTTAGGATTAGAATCTTTAAAAACCTAATGTGCAGTGGAGACCCCCCTGGGGACACCGGAGGCCCGTACAGAGCACCTCAGGTGAGGATATAAAGTATACGGGCCACGGCTTCCTCCGGTGCTGCGGGGGCCTGGCCACCTCCACCTCCCGCCATGCACTTGTATGGCCATCGGCCGATACACATGTAAGGTGCCCGGGCCCCTAAGGCTGCCCGGGCCCATTACATGAGTATCTGGGGTACCACCCTGACGCGGCCCTGCTTCCAAATCACATATATTATGAATGCACTCAATGCAACCACCACAATCCATGGAGATCAACTAGACTTCCACACAAGTGTTCCACCCTGAGGACTTCAAATGTAGTACATTTTCAGCTCTTTTATTTTTTTGCAAAAAATGCAGTTCAAAAATGTAAAGTTTCTGTCTACATCTTGCTATGTTTCAAACCAGTGAAGGTTCCTTGTCAAGCTAGGAGTTCCCTAAGCTTGAGTGCATACCCAGCTTGAGAAAGACCCTTCACTTGTTCAAAACATAGCAAGATGTAGACGGGGATTTTACATTTTTGCACTGCCTTTTTTGCTCAAAAATACAAGAAAAAAAGAGCAGTTTGATAACACCAACCAGCCTCCTATAACTAATAGAAAAGGCTGCGTCAACCATTTTGCTTAAACCATTTAGATTATGAATGTTTCTTAGTTCTAAATGTTTTTTTCCTCTTCCAATAGGTGGACTCTAAGGTGACCCTGGGCCTTGGTGGAATTCTGGTTGTCCTCGGAGCCGTATTGGCATCAATGGGTTTTTATTGCTACCTCGGTGTACCATCCACGCTCATCATTGTTGAGGTTGTGCCCTTCCTGGTTCTGGCAATTGGAGCAGACAATATCTTCATTTTTGTTCTGGAGCTACAGGTACAAAAATGCTTCTAAACCAACTATGGTGAAAATGGCAACTAGAATATGACTGGTTACTTCCACGTTTTTATCATCCTAGTTCTAGTAACACTATTAGTATTTAGTTACATCCAGCTAGACCTGTTCTGCGGTGTTGAAGACAATTTGTCAAGTGGCTTCCTTGGTTCAGCTGAGTGTCAGGAACATACCCCTGATTTACAGGTGAAACTCGAATAATTAGAATATTGTGCAAAGTTAATTTATTTCACTAACGCAACTTAAAAGGTGAAACTAATATATGAGATAGACTCATTACATGCAAAGCAAGATAATTCAAGCCATGATTTGTCATAATTGTGATGATTATGGCTTACAGCTCATGAAAACCCCAAGAACCCCAAATCCACAACCTCAAAAAAGTAGATTATTACATGCAATCAGTAAAACAAGGATTGTACATAGAACAATATCGGACCTCTGAAAAGTACAAGCATGCATATGTACTCAGTACTTGGTTTGGGCCCCTTTTGCAGCACTTACTGCAATTACTTTTGCACGATATTCTAATTATTCGAGTTTCACCTGTATATCTATTTGGGGATGGGAAGTAATTTAAAATGTCTATAAAGGGTATAGAGACAAAAACAAATGCACATTTTTAGGAGAGTGGGGAGAGGTTAGAACTTCTGACAATGTCCAGTCTTTCTTTCCCGTTGATGCCTGCACCATTTCTTAATCTGGTGTCACAGGGGCAGGAAGTGAGAAAATAATTTCCCCAATGGATTCACAGAGAGAAAAAAAACTTGACAGAAATGGTGACTGAACTGGAAACTCAGCTGTGCATTGAGAAATATTGCTCTCTACAATATTTATCTCTAAAAGATAACTGAAAATTGTATGTGTGTTATATATATTGTGGGGTATAGCTCAAATGGGAGATCACCTTCCCTGGGAAAAAGGCAGTCCAGGCAGCAAAGTCCTTAGTTTATCTGACTTGCAGTCAGTTTTTTTATTTAAAAGGTTGCAATAAAACAAAATAAAACAGAAAATAAATCCTTGCCTTTCAGGCTCTGACTAAACAGACAGGTTTCCTCTCTACCAAGTGGTGAGCTGCTTAGCCACCTCACAAAACAAAAGGACTTTCAGCAACCTTCTAATCACAACCATCCAACTTGTAGCTCTCTAAAGCTGGCCATACCCCTTACAATTATCTGCAGATTTTCTGTGGTCAGATGGAAAAGGTGCAACAGATTCCTCCATCTACACTTAACTGTGTGGATGGAGTAATCTCCACCTGGGCCAATCTGTTGCACTTTTTCCATCTGACCACAGAAAATCTGCAGATAATTGTAAGGTGTATGGGCACCTTCAGAATGCTCTCTGAGTCCCAGGCCAGAGCAACATCATGCTTCAGCCTTCCCTTTTTATCTCACCTGGATAATCAATTAACAAGCAATTAACCATCCAGGTGAGGGACACAAAACCCGAGCTGGATTATTCAGACCCAAAGTCAGCCTGAAAACCTGGTCTGGGTTCCGTTAGTCTTGTACATAGGATAGAAAGCGAGGGGAAATATATCGCCCCTCAATGACTTTCCCTTTGCTTATGTCACAATATATATATATTATATTAATATTAAGACGTCTTTTGAATGACGGGTTAGCTAAGTGAAATGTTGGTGTAGAAATGAATGCACTAAACTTTACAGCAGTGGTTCTGGTCATTTTAATATCTTCCTGTTTTTCCCTTTCAGCGTAATGGAAGAAGGGAGGGAGAACGACGGGAGGAGCATATCGGGAGGGTCCTTGGTTATGTGGCCCCTAGCATGTTACTCTGCAGCCTCTCGGAGTCCTTGTGTTTTTTCCTAGGTAATACATTTAACTACCACAGGAGACAATGTTAAAACTGGAATGAATGAAGAAACCAACAGGACTCCTGGATTCCAAGAATGTCAGACCTTTTTTTTTTTTACATCAAATCAGGACTCACAACATATGGCAATGTTTCTTTGTTACTTTGTTTTGCCTCAAGAAGGAACCATTGTGCGTTCCGAAAATTTGCCATACATTGTGGTACCTTAATGGATGTCAATAAACAAGGTCCGACATTCTTGGAACCCAGGAGTGCTGATGATTTCTTCGACCATTACTGATTTGTTTGTGGCGCCATCCCCAGTCGCTACAGCACCCACTTCCAGCTTTTGGATTGCTTACCGATTTGGAGTGTGATGAGTTATGGACTGAAATGTTAAAACTGGATTACATTTTACATAGAAAGTGCAGTACTACTATATGGTAGGTCATTAAACACAAAGCGCAGAGCACTAAAGTCCCCACCACAGTCATACATACATACTGTACACGTACACACAATGGGGACAGTATATACAGTATGTGAGTAAATTAATTTATATTTTGGGCTGTGGGGAAAAAATGCGCACACACATGGAGCATATTTATAAAGAAGTGAAGGGACATTCTCCAATCATTCATTGCATTAAAATCTTCCTGGTTCATGTAATTTTAAGTGATTCCTTGCAGGGCACCTGCAGAGAATGTTAGGTGAATGTCACATTCACTACTTTATGGGTTTGTTTTTGGAATTTAGTGCTGTGAGGCACTTAGCCACTAGTATGCAGTCCATATTATTTTTGTGTAGCTCTTCCATAGCACAGACAATCATGTAATCATGAGTAATCTGCATCCTACGAACCAGTGCATTAAGTTGGCCATACTCTGTTCGAATTACGGTCAGGTCCTGCTGCACTGGCCAAAATGTGAGCTGTGTGTGGTCCTGGTGGCACCATCTGGCTCGACAAAAGTTGAATATTAAAGTTGATATATTTTAATTAAGCTTTTTAGATCACATCAATCACTGAACATACATAAAGTAAGTTACAATAAAACCATGCATTACTTCAAGGTCTAATACAGGACTGGACAAATCCCAGGAGACAGGTAGCCAACACTCCATAAAAATTACAACTTTTGAGGTTTTCTCTAGTTTTTGTCAATGAAGCTGGCTCCTAAAAAAACCCCTGCTGGCTCCTGGATTGGACAGACTCCTGAATTCCATTCCAATTTGACCACTACTTGTCTAACTTGTATCTGTTCTGGTCCTAGGTGCGCTCACACAGATGCCTGCTGTCCGTACATTTGCACTGAACGCTGCTCTTGCTATTCTGTTTGACTTCCTGCTTCAGATCTCCATGTTTGTAGCTCTGGTGTCTCTAGACATGAAACGACAGGAGGTAAAGTCAGGTTCCTGGATTCGTGGGGTGGAAAGGAGGATATTTCTTCCTGGTCTTCTTTCTATAAACCATTATTCTGTTTCCCTGTAGTCTGACCACGGCACAAAAAACAATTCTGATCCATGTTTTCTTGTTCTTCAGGCCTCAAGGTTTGACATCTGTTGCTGTATCAAGAGCAAGGGTGAGAAGCCAGAGAAGAAATCTGAGGGGTGGTTGGTGTGGTTCATGAAGAAGGTGTATTGTCCCATCTTACTGAACTCTGTCAGCCGAGTTATAGTGGTGAGTAGATCTTCCCACATGTCCAACCTCAACCGACAAGGAGGAATGGGCTACCTCCAGGCATAACTTCCCTTAATGTATGCACTACTTTATATGCTCCAACATGGAAGCTCTCATAGACTAGAGTTAGGAACCATACATCACAGAGCAGCCTTGACAAGGCAGTGTGACTTCCACATATATTTGCAAATCTTCCTGTTATATTTTCAACTGCACTTGGGTCTATCTATATCATGGGGTGCTGCCTTGTAATGGACACAAACTAATACTTTATGTGATATTATTGGGGGTTGCATTAGGTCACCCACAAGTTTTAGGAACTTTATGTATTTAAGTAGAACACAAAGATTAGGCAGAACCTATACATGTCAGGGAGTAGAAGTGAGATTGCTAAGAAAATAACTGCAGGCTTCTAGATGGGATTCTTCTTCTAAAGGGAAAACAGTCAACAGGCCTACACTGAACAACTAACAACTCTGGTGATGTACCTGAAAGGTGCTGGTGTCACCCGCCCCTGTAAAAGTTTCTGCATTCAATATTCAGGTTACACCTGGCTTCCAATGCTTTTCTGAGGACCATAGTGATATCAGTTACACAAGCATCATGAATTTATTGAGTTGTACTCAATCTGGTCCCAAATAAAAATAGGACTGGTGTACTTTAGAGAGCCAGGTGGAATTTTGGTAGCAATCACTAAGCAGTTACATAGAATTAGGGAAGGTGATAGGATCAACAATTGGCTGCACACAAAACATATTTTAACAGCAGGCAATAGTTTTGTTTTTGACTTTTTGACTAAGGTGTCTCTTTAATATCTCCTGTCTCCTCAGATGGTGGTGTTCATCTTTATGTTCTGCTGTGGGACTTACTTTATGATGCATTCTCGTGTGGGTCTAAACCAGGAGGTGGCTGTACCTCTGGTACGTATTACATTTCTACTTTATGTGACATTTCATCTTCATGTAAATAAGACTAGAACTAGGAGGCTTAAAGGAACCATACATGACTCTGTAGGCACCTCTCGGCTTGACAAACTTGGATTAAAAAAGGAGTTGGGTGGAAAATTGTTGGCCAAACAACTGATTCAGTCACTTTCTGAATACAATAGACATCAGATGAGATTCCTTCATTCACAAGAGAAATCTGAAAGAGAGAAATCTAAGCGTGTATGGCTAGAACAATTCATGCCTTGACTTCAGGTGGGGTTTATTGGCCATAAATACCTATAAAATTCCAACTGTCACCTGTCTAGTACAGATTGGTAAATGAGCTGACACTTGCTTAGCCCCTCTGCACCCCTTTTGTTCCTTGATAAAGACTTTACTTTAGGACCATAAGTGTTACAAATTAAATCAACCGGACTTATTAGGAAGAGAACTACACCCGCCTATCCTTTACAGCCAGGGAAGGTCCCATCTTGGCCTGTGTTGGGATTGCAGTTGCCATGGTGCTGCACATGTGGTCGGCTATGACATCAGCCATGTGAGGGCTTGAAAGTTCGGTTGACAGCTGAAATAAGCACACTGAGGAAAGTGACATTTGGTATGCCTTAAGGCCGTGACACACTGCAGGCGAAGCAGCGCGGAGCGGTGGCGCGCTGCCTTTGCGAGCAGTGTGTCATGTCATTTTCTCCTGGGCACCTCAGCTGGCGAGAGCTCGCGGAGCTGAGCGTGCCGAGATCAACAATTCCAACTTCAGCCAATCGGCTCGCACGAATAAACCAGCGCGTCGGTATGCGACAGCTGGCTGGTTGTTACGGACGAGCCGATTGGCTGAAGGTGCAGTCAATCATCTGACTGCAGTCAGCTCACACACTGCACGCAAAGCTCCGTGCCGGATAGCTTTGCTTCGCTCTGCACGGCTTCGCGTGCAGTGTGCCACGGCCTTTAAGGTTCCATTCACACCTAGGCGTCTTGCTGCTCAATGGTAAGCCAGACTAAACACTCAAGACAAGGAATCCCATCCATTTCTATGGCCTCTGTTCACATCTGAGCGTTGTATCGCAAGCAGAAAACAGGGGCCATAGCAGTGGACAGGGGCCAAAGAAATGAATAAGATTCCTTGTCTTCAGGGTTTTGTTGTGCTTACCGTTGAGTGTCAAAACGCCTAGGGGTGAACAGGGACTTAATGTAATGTATTTGGGAGACATTAAATTGATGGGACTAGTTCTTCTTTAAGGCGTAGCTATGGGCAAAATAAAAAAAATACAGCTATAACGTGGTCTGCCACCAGCCATAGCACAACAGTCTGCCCCCGCCCTTAAACATAGTTTTATTACCTGTTGATCCTGGCATTATTTCTCCATTTTCGCTAACAGACCAAAGATGTCCATCAAAAGTCACAGTTACTGGGGTTGAGACGAACCATTCATTGACAGGGGTGCTTATAACAGTCAGCTTTTATTCATATGGTTTATTTTTTTCCAAAGGAAAGAAAAGCTGTTGCTGTGACTGCTTCAAAATTGTCCGCTGGAGTTTGGCTTTAATTTCTGTGCCTCTTACTTAAGTCTATAAGGACCACTCTGTCCACAGGGTGACAATGCTGCTGTATGGTTTAAGTGCAGAAGGAACAGTGTTGTCACCATATTACAGAAAGTAGAAAAATAATGGATCTTTTGGCAGGATCAACAGGTAATAATACTATGTTACCGGCAGAGGGGTGAAGACAGGGGCTAGGTGGACCAAACCAAAAACCGTTGTGTTAACGCTAGCGACAAACTGCATCTTATATGACACATTTGTTTTGCCCATAGTTCCACTTGAGGACAGGAACGCCACTTACTTTACCTTATTATGATTTCTACGTAGTCCACTGCAGCCACATCTCAGAGATCTCCTCACATGTCCAATGGGTGTCACCTGCCTCCTATTTGGGAAAACTTTTTAGTAGTATACCCATCACCAGCCTTTGATGGGTATTTGGGAATATCTCTTCTGAATTACAGATGGGTGAGCAGAAGGAGTCCCCAGATTACAGACAACGGGGACTAGGTTGGAATAATGCACTACAGCTCTACCTGAAAAACAGAAGATCTGAGCAGGTCGACTGTGTTTTCTGTATTCATCTCAATGGTTCAAAAAAAATGACATCATGTGAAAGAGTAGCTGATACTCATGCATGGGAACTTTCTAGAACTGGCCCCAAATTCCAGCCAATCAGTATGATACAGAGCTTCTAACGGCAGATAAGTGAATCTGTTGCCTTGTCCTGCATGGAAAAGCTTGTGTTCACATTAAACGGGTTCTTATTTGTGCATCCTATTATGTGCTAAATGCCCTATTTACCTTTTTCCCCAGGATTCCTATGTGGTGGACTATTTGAATCATCTCAATGAGTATTTCGAAGTTGGAGTGCCGACGTACTTTGTCACAACACCTGGTTATAACTTTTCCAGCCTAGCCGGAATCAATGGCATTTGTTCTAGTGCAGGATGTGACAATAATTCAATGACGCAGAAGATACAGTATGCCACTGACTATCCCACACGGTAAGTGTCCTGCACAGCTTCAAGACTTTGGTAACCATACTGGTGTATACTATGTAGTCCTAATGTTCAGTACTGGCATATGAAATGGCTGGGTTTGTTTTAACAAAATGAAAAAAATAGAGTTCATTACAATTTGGATGTTACAATAACAGCAGCCATAGAAGGAACATATAACATTGTCCTTATATAATCCTTGGTTCTCAACTGGTGGGCCGCAACCGCGTGTTCTGTGGGTCGCCGCATGCCTTCCACTTGTCTAGGCGAGAGGGTCCTTTGCCTCCCCCTAGCGCAGCACTGTCAGTTTTGCGCCAAGCAGCCATTCAAAATATGCTGCCCAGTGCCGAGTGTCAGATTGAGGTGGGATCACAACACAGCGGCCCACACTGGACCCCGGGCTGAGCATCCACTCCAGTTCCCGTAAGGTAGGGAGACTGGGTGCACCTGAAAAAAACAAAAAACTTTTTTGGAGTTTGTGTGAGATTGTGTCTGTGGTTGTGTATGTATGTCAGTGTTTTTGAGGGCACCTACCATGCCTTCTGGTGTGGCAGGTGTGTTGCGTTGCCATGCATTTGAATGACACCCCGAATGCACCTCGCATCCACAGTTCGTACGCCCGCACCAGAACAAGCGATACCCTAATGCCGTGCGTTCCATTGCAGTGTGACTTGGGTCGCAACTTAATGACCGAGGACAAATGTGGGTCCTGACGTAACACAGGTTGAGAACCCCTGCTCTAGATCACATTGAAGTAGATGTAATTGTATCATTATTAATTGCCATGTTTTTTCCGTGAAATACTGTTTTCAATCTTTTTTTTACATCTTAATGCTGCTGGTCTCTTGCTGTCACTTTAAACTACTTGTCACCACAATATCTTCATGCACTTGCCCCAGGCTTCAGTTGCAATTTTATTGCTCTGCACTGGCAACCTGATAGTGACATAGGTGGAACATGCCTCGGCAAAATGTTTTGGCATGTCCACTTTTACTCTGCTCCAGAGGAGCAAGTGACAGGGTGGCAATGCAGGAGCAGAACTGGGAGACAGTTGTCAACCCATAACAGGAAATAAAAGTAATTTACCGGCACACACTTGAAGGGTTTTTAAAGTACTGATATGTTTATTCAATACCCAATGTCACATACTGTCATACGGTGCTAAAACCCATAACAGGAAACGCCTGAACATGGACCTTTGTGACTTGGTCACCTATTATTCAATTATTAAAATCTGACATTTTAAAGCTCATATGTAACTGGGTTTGAGCTACTTTTAAAGATTAATTGCAGTTTATTCCTTGCATAAAGTGAACACGGCCTACCTGCTTAGCCCTGGTGACCTGAGAACCTCGGCCAGACAGCTTTTCCCACACCCTGGAAGGATTCTTGCTGTCTCTCCTAAAAAGAAAGCTTCAAACTAAAAAGACAGTTTCACAGGAGATGTTTTGGGGAGTACATTACCAATGAGCTAAACCAGAGCTGGCTGTATTACAGAGAACTCAGATAATTGAGGTAATGGGCTCTCAGCTGCAGTGTTTGCTGAAAAGCATTAGTAGCTTGCTGACTGCTCCACTTGCTTCTACTTGTTGCCTGGTCTAAAGACCAAAAGAAATACAGTAGACATCATTTGCTCTTGGTTGACTTTCTCTTTTGGCACATAGAGGGCCAGTGCCAATGGGCTTTAGTTCACTTGAGAATTACTTCTCAAGTCTATGGAAACGCAAAAGCAGTTGAAGCAGTGCTAGTACACCCACAATGAATTCTAAATGTTCTCAGAAGCATAACAAATTCATATCAAAAGCTGCATTTGCCTATTGAAGTCTGTCAACTCAGGCCCATAGGCACAGTGTTTAGAACTCAAGAGAACTTTCAGGGCTAATGAAAGGGGGGGAAATGTAATTAGATTTAACTATGAAGACCCTCATCCTTGTCTTAGGGCCAAGGTTGGTGAATTCAGCATGCATGTGACTTCAGTTTGAGATGCTTCTGAGATCATTTAGAAATGATTGCAGGTGCAGTTGTCTTGCAGTTGACCTTCTTCAAAGAGAACAAAAGGCCATCAACACTGGCCCTTATTCAGCAATCACGTCTTCCTCTCTAACGCACATTCCTGACCCTTCCTTCTTGGGTGCAGGTCGAGGGCTTTGTTTGCTCTGATGAAGGGGAAGTTCCCCGAAAATGCATTCAGCTTAGTGGCAGTAAGACTCACTACGAGTAGAGCTCCTGGACATTCATACATTTGTGCAGCGGTTCATCCAGTGAAGACTACAAGTCTAATGTGTCACTGTTCTTGCTCCATTTGAGAGTATAAGTGTTTTTATAAATACAGTTTTCAATAAAAGGATTATTGCACTAGGTCAGGCGCCCGGTGTCTTCTTTCTTTCATGCAGGTCGAGGGCTACCTGTCTTGTTTATAAAGTGCACCCAAACATGGCTGCAATCACCTTTAACCTCCATTTCAGCCTTCTTTAAAGTAAAAGGTGTGCTCCCCTATTAGTTACAACACTTCTAAATCCTTATTGTGCTGTCTTTTTTTTTTGAATAGCAATTTTTTATTTTGTTAATAAAATACAAAGATACAAGACATTTACAGAGAGAAAATATATGATAGTACATATATCCAAAGTGGTGCAAAAGTAGTACATTTGCATATCCATCCCCCAATCAGTATGTGTCATACAGGCAAAAAGAAAATCATCACATCTGCAGGAATGAAGGCATTCGAAAAAGTGTAGCATCTAGCAGCATATGGAATTTTAGACTATCGAAGAAAAGAATCTAGGGAATGGTAGATAACCAAATTTCCAATAAGGAAGTAACGTGTCTCAAGAAATTGTAAAACCTGAAATATGCATGAAATTATAAGTAAACAGTATAATTCAAACACAGTATACAGTAAAAAAATCAAAACATATCCCTATTTCGTCTGAATCCACTCCAAGGATACAGCAAACCGAAAAACACTTCCATAATTCTATACCCGTTCCCGAACACCCCCGGGACCTTGACCCAGTATGTGGATATACCTGAGGAGCATGGATCATGACCATCATGTGAGATAGGATAGGCACTAGATAAGTCAAACCAAATGGACCTGGAATGATTCATCCATGGCATTTAAAGAATTATATCTTCCATAGCATTCCAAGCTTTCCAGACCTTCTTATAGGTTGGTAGGGTATTGTTCAACCGTGCCGTTAGGTGTTCCATACTCTGCACCTCTTTGATCCATTGGTCTAGGTCTAATTTAGAGGGAGGGGATGTACATTTCCAGTGCAAAGCTATAAAACAGCGAGCTGCTGTCAAAACATGTGAAATTAGTCTATCATATTTATTGAATTGTGCTGTCTTTGCCAACTTTAGCACACAATGAAGCTGCTCAGATGTATATGCCCTTTTACTCTGGCTAGGCTGGAGTATTAAAACTCCCACAGCAGCCAACCTGAGAACCTTTACTACAGAGACTGTGTCCTTGATATTTGTGTTGTATCTTTGTTATTCTATGTTCTTCCTTCACACTGTGTTCTATCTGCTGTTCACACCCTGACTCATCAGTTATCTCCCAAGATGGCCCTGTCAACTTTGCACATAATTACTGCTCTAATCTAATCATGCTACTTAATTATGTACAATATATAAATAGTCTTTGGACTTCACGTCAGGCCATCCAGTTTAAACGTTTGCATGCTACCCTAATGCCTTCACCTTGCACGTTCCATATCGTGACAGCAGAATTGTCTTAATCTCTACAAAGTTTACCATGCTATTGGTGGGGCATCTAACTGATTCTTTATCTACTGGGTTAGGCAGAGGTGCTGTGGGCTGTGTTTAGAGCTCCTTGTTAGATTGGTGCTAAAAATGTGGATAATACGATTTAAAGCCCATATCTGGGTAAGGCTGATATGAAAGGTGCTTCATTTGAACACTGTATCTGTACATATATGTGGTTTTTGTTCACTTGCTTTCATTACCTTTTGTATGATATGTTGCACATGTGGCAAAAGTCTCAGATTTACCCATCACAATACATGGCCTGCTGCAGATTGGATTGCCTGTAGCCAAGATCAAGAATTGTCAGTAGTCCATCCTGCCCATGCATGGCCAGCCTTTTAATTTAAAATGCATTGCCCTAATATGTTAATGATCTTGCCCTGACTCATCATTCTCTGGCATTTTTGTCCCTGATAGATCTTACTTAGCTGTCCCAGCATCCTCCTGGGTCGATGACTTTGTGGACTGGCTGAATCCTTCATCGGACTGCTGTAGATTGTTACTAAACGGGACCTTCTGCTCTTCTACTAGCAGTGAGTACTATTATTGCACCAAGACAGCGTCACTAAAATGGAGAGATAATAAAAAATCATAAACGCTTACTCTGATTTATTTGCATCAAATAATTCACATATTTTGTTCTATACTGTTGCAAATGTTTGAAAATTCTAGTTCTCGTTTGATGTTAAAGGCGAGAGGGAGAGAGAGGTAATAGATGAGGCATGAGATGCTGGTGTCAAGCAAACAAGAGAGTGTAGTAACTCACCATGAGGTTTGCTTCCGTGTGCAATCAACGGCGTTGGGATCTCTACGATGGGGAGTTGATTGTAGTTTCTCCTTTCGAGTCCTCCGTGTTGGCTGCAGTCTGTGTGCTGACTGGATGGGCAACTGTAAGGGTGGAGGTGTCGTGAGTGCTGGGGGGGTCTCGTTGGTTCAAGGATAGCTGGGTGATATTGTTTAGTAAATCCCTTACAATCTGCTCTAGTACCTGGTCTAGGATCTACTCCATCATTTACTCTGCCATCTCCTACAGTACTCCAGTGTCTGCTCTAGTATCTCTTGTAGTACTTGGACTAGTGTCTACTCCATTTTCTTCTCTAGTATCTTCTGAAGTACCTGGTCTGGTGTCTACTTCAATATCTGATCTATTACTTTCCACATTACTTGGTCTACTACCGGTATCTGCTCTACTATTTCTTCTTGTCCCTCCTATGGCACCTAGTCTAGTGTCTACTTAAGTACCTGCTCTAGTATCTCCTGTTGTACCTGGCCATGTGTCTACGTTATTATCTTCTTTAATACCTTGTATGATATCTGGTCTAGTATCTACTTCATTATCTGCTTCAGTACCTCCTATAGTAACTGAGCAAATATATGATCCAATAGTCTATGTATTGTATTAGAATGCAATGTTTAGCACTAGTCCTAATGATCCACCACAGATTTTGGCTACTGCAAAGTCAAAGTCTGTCTGCAACACTATCAGGGTTATTCACAAAGGGGTGAAGAGTTTGGAGAAGGCAGGAGAAGTGAACAATCAAGGACAACATAGCTGATTTGGAAAAATTCTCCAATTCAGCTCACCTTCCATTTCAGCTATGTTGTCCTAGATTGTTCAATTCTCCTGCCTTCTCCAAACTCTTCACCCTTTTGTGAATAACCCTGTGTGTGTATTTAGGACCATTGTACTGGACAGACATTCCTTTTGATAACCTATCTAACAGTACCTGTGCATAGAGGCTGTTTAGGCACCCTCTCTCTCTTTATATGCCCTCTTTCCTGTCACAGCTCTACCGCAATCTGTAGATAGCAGCTTGTAAACTTTGTGTAAAAATCAACATTATCTTCAGAAGTCTGAGCAAGTTTAGCAGCCTGTCGAACCAACTGGTGACAAGACTTAGTAACAGAATAGAACAAATACTATCAAATCTCCAGTTGATATCCAGTCCATACAGATTTTAATTGCAAGCCTCGATGAAGAGGGTATCTGTGGGCCCCCAAAACACATTGGCTTCACCTTTCTGAAATTCATTGGAATTAAATTGTATGTGGACTATTAAGCAATGTTTTGGTTCTTCTCTTCTTATACTTACTGTTTTTGCACACCAAGGAAACCATGGACATGTAGACACAGCCACACTGGAATGTAGACACTGCCACACTGGACTGTAGACACTGCCACACTGGAATGTAGACACTGCCAACCCAGTAACCAGATTACCCTTATTAGTAGATAGTAACACCAATAGGACAACCTTACGATTCCGGCGCTACCTTTCCACGTCCGAATTGTACCCACGCAGACGCACTACCTAGGCACGATCAGCGTTCCTGTACTACTGACTCCTATAGGTAAAGTCAGTTTTTACAGACAGTGTTTAGGAAGCGGCAAAACAGGGAAGGGAACAAGAAGGAGCTTTATGCACAGGTACTGTTGGATAGGATATCAAGTAATTTTAACAGGGTCCGGCTCTTGGCAACCGGGTTTGCTCTGGCTATAAAGGGGGCGGAAGGCACACTCCAAACACTACATGCCTGCTGCCCCCCCGTGACCCAGAAAGATGCCACCTGAGACCATGGCCACAGGCTGCCTCATAAACCTTGGAAAAGCCACATTAAACCATGGCATGTAAAATCTTTTAGCTCAGGAAGAGAACATCTCTGAGCTGAGCAACTGAGCTGTTACTACTCTATTTTCAGCACTACCTGGATGTATACGGAGGTGTATGAGAACTACGAATGGACCGTTACGACCGACAGTAGACGATTTTAATCACTACTTGCCCATTTTCCTGCAGGATTATCCCAATTTGAAATGTGCCAAAGGGTGAGTCACAGTAGCTGGCAGAATAAATAGCTAAATGTCCTAATAGGTCTTCTACTAGAAAATGGCCATCCATTGGCTTTTATTGCTGAGGATGCACCATAATGTGTTTAAACTTTCACAAATCTAGCTCTTTGACGCTCAGGGTGGCCAGACTGTGTTATATTGGTCCTGTTATTGGGTGTTGCATCCTTCTGAATCAAGTGAAGCTCAACTGCATATTACGTTCACAGTCTTCTATTCAATAAATATGTGTACTAAAGCATCTCTATACCAAAAAACAAAAATGGAACGTATTGCCGTTTTATAGTCCTTAGATGTGGTGACCGCGTTAGTTTTATTTTTTCAGGCTTTTTTTTGTAAAAGAACTCCGGGCAGAATTTGTATTAACCCTTGCAGTCAGTCTGCCCTGCACTATAAGGGTTAACTGCTCATTTAGGTGTTAAAAAAACATTATACTCACCAGAACTACTGAGCCGGTTCCCTGCTTCTCTGGTCACTGAAGTCTTTCTCCTCCTACTCTCCCCTTAGCATTAGAATGTTCCTCAGCATCCTCATCTATACACTTTGTATAGAATGTGATGATTTTTGGGACCTTAGACTGCTGTAGAGGAGGGGGAGGGAGGCTGCAAGGACCACTCTAAAGCTCCATTCACAGATAGCAGTAGCGTTTTACTTGTGTTTTTTTGCACGGGAAGCCGCGAAGAACGAAACCAGTTCAATTAGCAGGCACTGACAAGGACACTATGGAGCTGAGTTATAAATGTCCTGCCCAGCGTGTAGCTGGGTGAATGCCATTCCCACTAGATGGAGCAGCGGAGCTCCATTTTTTAACTAACAAAAACCCCAAAACATTGGTTCCTCTTCTCATCCCCCAATGGCAGGGGTGGAGCAATAATCCTCTGAGACCAGGCTATGTGATGACGCTGCCCCAGGAGGTGGGCCCATGACGTCCTGGACATAGAGGATGATTTTGGCCATCATTTAACCTGGATAACTGAAGACATCTAGTGGAGAAAAAGGGGTACTGCAGGGAAGAATTGCTAACCACTAACCCACTGTGCTGCCCCAATATAAGAGTTTCCACTGAGGAACACAGCTGCGTGGTTGTCAGCCCTTGCAGCACTGAGGGTCCCCAGTTCAAATCCCGGTCAGGATCTCTCTGCAAGGAGATTATATGTTCTCCCTGTGCTTGTGTGGGTTTTCTTCAGCTGCTCAGGTTTCTTCCCACAGTCCAAAGACATGATGGAAGGTTAATTGGCTCCTGTCTAAATTGGCCCTCTATGTATGCATGTGAGATAGGGACCTTAGACTGTAAGCTCCTAAGGGCAGGGACTGATGTGAATGTGCAACGATGTAAAGTGCTGCGTACATTGTTGGTGCTATATAAATAACTTATCAATATTATACATAAAAAATGAAATTGCATTGTATCACACATTGTATAAACATAAATTATGCTTCTGCAGGGGTCTGGGTGCTTATGACAATGCTGTCAAGTTCAATGACCGAGGAGAGATCATAGGTAAGAGGGATCTTCTTCCCATGTATGATGTCACTGGTGTCATGTTGGTGTTATTAAATGGAGGTCTATTTTTTTCCCACAGCCACCCGTTTTATGGCATATCACTCCCCTCTAAAGAACTCTCAGGAGTATACAGGGGCTCTGATGCAAGCTAGAGAACTGGCAGCGAACATCACCGAATCATTAAGAAAAGTTCCGGGTACCGACCCTAATGTAAACGTCTTCCCATACACGTGAGTGAAAGCTCTAAATTTACTGACATGCTATTTGTCCTATGACTACTGGAGATCAGGGAACCAATTAACACAAAATGTATATTTGACTTTGATCATGCCAGTTTTATTGATGAGAATATCTGCAGACATTTGGCGGTTTACACCAAAGAGCTCCATTTTCATTGTCAACACAAAATAGAGTAGCTAAACCCAAGAACAAACATTTAAACTAAAGTGCGGTGTGGAAAAATGAACCCTGGAAGTAGGGCGCCCCACCGCACTGCATGGGTTAAATGCTGGTTAGCTCTAGGGGTAGAGGAATAAGGAGTATTACGAACCTTACGTTCTCTCCACCTGTGTCTCCGATCCCCGGAGCCTCCTCTCTAGCATTCTCCCAGCCATGGTTACATGCTTGCCTCCTTCACATACAATGCAGAACTAACAGTCTTGTATTTTATGACTTTGAGGGACTGTCCACAGAAGAAGTTGATTGTTAGAATTTAAATACACTTCAAGTAGTCCCTTTCATGCTCCGAAGCATGCTATCCTATCCTCCTCGGAGCTTGCCTAGCCTGACAGAGGAGGATCAGGCATAACCCCCATCTAAAAACCTTGTCAAGTGGTCAACCTTTTTTTTTACTTCATTAGTTTTTCCTTACTCTGAAAGATGCCAAGTGCTGTCAAGTGCACCCAACATGGGTGCTGCTTCATTGCCATAGTGTCACGTTCATCTCTTGTGACAGACTGCATTGGCTTATGACCAGTGGTTACCACTTCCTGACAGTAATTCATCCCACATCTCAGTGTATTTTAGGTGACCAGAAACTCTTTTATCTTATACCGTTTAAAAATAGCAAAACGTGAGCTAAACCTAAAGGAACCTAATGTCCTAAAAACATAGGATTTATTGTGTAGTTAGGCCCCCTTAGCATATGTGAAAGGGGCCAGCTGGTTGGGTCTCAGGATTTCCTCGTGAGACTGAGGCAAACAGCTGTGTTCGCCACCATTTGCATGTAAACTGACACGCTGCAATTAATAGTTTAAGTCCTGGGGCTATCGTGCTGCAGGTAATTGCAGCATGTGCACATTAGACTCACCCACTTGGACCCATTTGCACGTGTGAATGAGGCCCTAAAGTATAATGTCAGCTAAAATGTTATTCTAGTTATTGATAGAATGGGGAAAGGGTTCCAGCCTGTCCATGTCTCATTCATGCCTGTGGTTCCAATGGGTAGATTTCCATCAGGAAGTGGAAGGAAATCTTTCCAAAGTGAGGGCAAGTCGCACTGTTGATAGTTATCACCTCTCCAGGTATCCCCAATGGAAATTTTTCACCACACATCCTGTCTTCTCTCTTGTTTCCTGTCCTAGTTACAATATCCCCAAATGGGGACACATATACCAGATGAAACCTTACAGAGAATCTTAACCTCTCATCTATCCTAAACTAAAAAACAAAACTCTGGCTAGGTTCTACTAAACACATATATGTAAATGAGGTCCATTTGTAAGGATGAAAGTACAAACCCTTGGACTTCCTCTGAAAATCAGGGACAGTTAAGCTCAATGCACTTTATATATACCCAAACATGTGATATTATAGCTATGCTGTCCTTGTGTTTATTCATGTATATTACCCATGCATGTTTTTTTTTTATATTGTGATCACCTCACTGTTCCTTCTTCTTCTTGCTTTTTTTTCTGATCATTTCCCATCTGCTTTTCACGCAGGATTACATACGTTTTCTATGAGCAGTACCTGAGCATTGTTCAGGAAGGTCTCTTCACACTGGCCCTCTGCTTGCTGCCAACCTTTGCCGTGTGCTGTATTCTGCTGGGAATGGACTTACGTTCGGGTCTCATTAACCTAATTACCATTTTCATGATCATCATAGACACAGTTGGTGTTATGACCCTGTGGAGCATTGATTACAATGCCATCTCTCTTATCAATCTGGTAACGGTGAGTGAAAGTTCTTTCATGCTCCTCTCTCATACATGTCCTAAGTCAAGCCAATATCTCCTAAGCTTTACTTAAATGTGCACCAATAGAGAGGCTCAGATACTCCTTTCTTAGAGAATGTACTGCTCCAGGCTCCTTTCAGCAATACTTTTGGTCATGTGGTATCTACTGAACAGAACCCTAAGCCTCCCATTCATTTGCACTTAAAATATTGGATGCCTTTGGTTATGTGGGACCCACTAAAGGTACCTAGAGCAGCAAATTTTCTGCAAAAGTGAGTATTTCATCCCCTCTATTTATTTAGCTATCCAAGAAAGAATGCTGACAGAGTTCAATTTTAAAATGTGAGTACAGGTCCCCTATTAGACATCCTTCCTCTAAACCGGGCAAGTCAAACTGGCATTTATTGGGCCCATGTGGCCCCTTGTTCCTTCTCTGTGGCTCTTATTGGTTTGAGGATAATAAAAAAACAATGTGTGTCCAGTTTTTCTCCAGTTGCTGAGTTGCACTTCATTACAAAAATTGCAGCTAGATATTTGGAAAATGAAATAGTTGCAAATGTTACTATAACATTGAAGTGGAACTAGACCCACCAATTTAATGGTCTCCCAAAACAGGTACTTTCAAGGCCAACAGTCAAGGTTGCCAATGTTCTTATTTTAGCTCTCAACCGAACTTACAAGCCTTGAAATGGCTGGTGTCATAGCTGATCACATATGAGGCACCATGGCAACTGCAATCCAAATAGAAGCCAAGATGGCACCTTCCTTGGCTGTAAATGATAAGAGGTTGTACCAAGTGCCCCCTCTCACCAAGTTAGTCCTCTCACTTCAACCCCTTGTTTCATCTGAGTTTTAGAACTTGCCTTTTCTAAATTTTAAACCTCCTCTTGTCTTCACAGGCCATTGGGATTTCAGTGGAATTTGTTTCCCACCTTACTCGATCTTTTGCCATGAGCAGCAAGCTCACCAAAGTGGAACGGGCAAAAGAAGCCACTATCTACATGGGCAGTGCCGTAAGTACAGGAGATAAGCAATCACAACTCAGCATCAGCTTAGAGAGGACTTTGTAGTTAATAATAACCACCATGCCACGAAAAGCTCTTGTGTGACTATGCCCCAGGTCTAGGTTTTGTAAATTACAATGGATGCGTGGCAGAACCAAAGCTAGGTAACAGGTAGATAAAGGCAATCTATCACATGGGTAAATAGACTGCTCTGGACATGTTTTAAATATGAGGCTCCCATTACTGACTGTCCTAAATATACTGGCTGCCTCTGGCTTCAATAGTTTTTGAGTCACTGACCCAGAACATTGGTGTCAGAAAGAAGTCTTAACTCCTGATTAGTGATGAGCAAACTGGCCTGCAATCAGTTGGCATGGATGATTGCTGAACCCAGCCAGAAATCCGGGTTCCGCAAAAGTCCAGGTGAACTGAACCCAGGCCTGTATTTGTCCTAACAACCAATAACGCTGTGCATGCATAGGATCATTGGTTGCTAGGAGGCTACTGGCTGGGCCACACAGCGTTATTGGTTGCCAGGATGCGGGCCGGAGCACCATAACAGCCAATTATTCTGTGGACCCGCCAGTGTCTTGACAACCAATGACACTGTGGCCCTACACACCATCAGTGGTTGCTAGGACACAGATGTTTGGTGGGCAAGTCAACTGGCCAGAGCATTTGCCCATTTATTTAACTGTGAACACCTTGCATTCAGGTCGAAGTCATAGTCAACCTGAACTCGAAATTCATCCCTACTTCTGACCTGTGCATGCTAAGATGGTGGCTAACCCACAGCATCATAGGGTGGTATGGTGCACCCTCCTACATTCTATCAGCCATTAACACTATCTAGCCCAGCCACTAGCATCCTAGCAACAAATGATGCTGTGTGGGCTGCACAGTGTCATTCGTAGCTAAGACACAGATGTAGTTCGGTGGTTGAGCGAACTGGCCAAATCGTTCACCCATTTGGCAAATTGTGAACAGCTTGGGTTCGGGCTTAACTCATAGCCAAACCAAATCTGAAGTTCATCCCTACCCCTGACCTTCATGTTTGTTCCAGGCCTGCTCTTCAGAAAGTATTAAAGCCATTGAAAGAGCATGACAACCAAGCAGCTAGCATTTTAGAAGGAGGGGCCAGCAATGCAGCCTCCCTATTCTGTCAGTCCAGATTTTCTTTAAGACTATATACTGTACTGACTATACTGTCTATGGGGTGCTGTATTAAGGAAGATGCACGGGTATCTTATACTTTTGTCTATCTTCACAAACAGGTGTTTGCCGGAGTAGCCATGACTAATCTCCCAGGGATCATTGTTCTGGCCTTCGCGAAAGCTCAGCTCATCCAGATCTTTTTCTTCCGCCTTAATTTGACCATCACTCTGCTGGGACTAGTACACGGCCTCATATTCCTGCCTGTTGCACTCAGCTACTTTGGTAAGTTGGCCTGGGATCAATGTGTGTCTGAGAGCAATGTTTCCTATACTAAGCCTGGATTCAGTTGATGTTGGAAAGCAGCTGAGGATATGACTCTTACCAGTCAAGATGTACACATGGCTGAGCCATTCTTGTTTTAATGGAACACAGGAAGACTGAAATAGGAAATTACATCAATACCATATAGTTCTACAAGGAAGAACATTACATTATACAAGGATAAAACATATCACACACTACCACCTAGTAGCAGAACCACTAATAATATATGAAAATGGTTGTTGCACCAATGTCTGTATTAACAGTGTGCTAACAGTTACAGAAAACAACAACATTGGGGACATGTATGAACTGTTGTTCCTCCATCCAGTTAGCAGTGGCCAGTGTGTTAATTGGGGCACTTATGATAAGGGGTAAGACTTGCAAGGGGGTGACGCATTAATGTCAGGTGAAATTACAGGGGCCATAGAATGGTGCTCATGTAAATGAAGCATCTCAAGAAGACCAGACAGATTCTTACATTTTACCCAAGCCAAAAACTAAGGGGTCGGGGGAAAAAAGCAGGCCCACCTATAGACTTGCAAGACACGGAACTTGCAGCAAAAGGCTGGTATGGGGTTTATATCTTGGCTTTCAGGTTGTTTTTTCCTCTAGTCATCTGTCTATCAGGCATGGCTGCTGAGATATGCTGCCTGGCCAAAAAAAGATCACCACCTCAATTTAGCTAAGCAAATACGTCAAAGCCTTCCACTGGATAATAAGCCTAGGTTCAGCAACATTATATGCCCAGCAATGAGGTCAGCTGCCTACCGAAATATATTGAATTACCAGGTTTTTTTTCTTCCCTGATGGCACATTGGGCAGATTCCAAGATAACAATGTCTGGATTGACCAGTCTCAGATTGTGAAAGAGTGGTTCAGGGAGGCACCTTAGAGAAGAGTCATATGGCCCTTAGAGAAGGGTCATATGGCCACTTAGAGAAGAGTCACATGGCCCCTCAGAAAAGAGTCATATGGCCACTTAGAGAAGAGTCATATGGCCACTTAAAGAAGAGTCATATGGCCACTTAGAGAAGAGTCATATGGCCCCTTAGAGAAGAGTCATATGACCCCTTAGAGAAGAGTCATAGTGATAAGTATCCTGCAAGAGTATACAGTGGATGAAGGATCACAGCATTCCCATCATTTCACAAAGATGCAAATGAGTAGCATATTGCAATCCCCTCACCCCTGCCAAGTGTGCTAGTCCTCCCTTACCCACATACACAGCCAGATCTGATCTTTGTAATTATTTCCATGCAGGCCCCAATGTCAGCCGAGCGGTGTTACTGATGCAACAGGAGAAAGAAGAGCGAGAGAACAGGCTGGAAAACGGTGTCAACGTATATACGAACATGGACTTCCAGGAAGATGAGAAGAACACAGAGGAGAAAGACAAATCTTAGAAAAAGAACAAATCTCGAGACGACTTTTGCTCTACAACAAGGGCTTCTTGATTACCCCATGAACTAATTCAAGATGGCCGCTGCCATGGACTACCGACCAGCACACAGCTGCAATAAATGAATGACGGATAACGGCAACTCCGCAGGAACTACAGAGACCATACTAGATGTCAGGAGAGGTCTTCAGATGTTTCCACAGATGATTTCACTCTTCATTTAGACATGGCCTACTGATTCACAGCTGTATACTGTATATATCTAGAAACCAGGAGCGGGATCCCCACTCCGGGGGGTGATACTTAGAGGGGATGTAATCATTTTTTTCTGTTACGATTTAGAAAAAAAAATTGTAAAATAAAATAAAACAGTATTTTTGCATCTCGTTAGTTTGTTTTAGCAAGTGATTTTTGGAATTAGGAATTGCCAGAGAGCGACTATAAAATTCCAGTCCAACCGGCTCTCTGAAAAGATTTTTTAAAGTGGAACTTCAGCTTTCTTCACACATGTGGCTAATTTTTTAAGGTTGGTTCATCTGACAGCTGCAAGCAGTCAGATCTGCAACTTACCAGGCAGGGGGCAATAAAATAAGGCCGTATGCTGCTGGATGGTGCGCAATCAGTGAGGGGGAAGGGTGCTGGTGGAGAGTGATGCTGCTTAAAGCCAGGTGGGGAGATGTGTAAGGGCTCTGCATCTTCCCGCCCAGCTCTTGGCAACCTGGGACGCTCTGGCCGGCGTCACGCTGAGCTCCTGACAAGCAGTGACATCAATGGTTGCCAGGAGCTTGGTTGGACTCCTGCAAGAGCGTCCCAGGTTGCCAAGAGCTGGGCGGGGAGATGCAGAGCCCTTACACATCTCCCTGCCCAGCTCTTAGCAACCTGAGACACTCTGGCCCTCATCCTGCCTAGCTTCTGGCAATCAATGACGGCCCAGGTTGGCAGGAGCTGGACAGGACGCCGGCCAGAGCAACCTGGGACACTCTGGCCAGAAAGGGGGTGGCAGGCACACCGAAAACATTGTGCAGCAGAGCGGCCATGCCCCGACGTGTCCCAAAGAGGTGCCACCGGGGCAACAGACTGCCCCAATATAAGGAAGGCCCTGGCTGTATAAATGTGCCAACACAGGCCTCATATGACTTCATCTTCCATTTTGGGTCATTCACTAACCCAGTGCATATCTGTCAGCCTGAGAAGATGGTAGTTGCCCATACACAGATTATGAGCACAGCACCGACAGTTAATAATTTACCATTTCTCCTCTAAGGGAGGGGAGTTTCCCCGAAAATAAGACCTACCCCAAAAATAAGACCTATTACTATTTTTGGGAATTGCTAATATATAAGACCTACCCTGAAAATAAGACCTAGTTGCGACCATTCCCAGGGTGGTGGCATAAGGGGGAACTTGAAGAGCCGCAGGAGAGGCAGGAGAGGATCAGCGGTGCCAACGAAGCCAGCGCTAGAGGAAGCGAGGCGGCAGCGTAGGCAGCAGAGCCGTATAAGCCGATGCTTCCTCTATAGCGCCGGCTCCGGTCACAGGCGGAGTGATACCAAATGCACTACGCATGTGAGGAATCCATAGTAAAAGCGCGCTTCGCTCATTCTGGCCAGCGAATTACCAAATTGCTCTTGGAAAGGTACGGCACCCCTGATTGCCCTGATCACCATATTTTTCTACATGAATAAGTGTGGATTGTTGTACATTTAAAAAAAATAAAAATAAGACCTACCCCGAAAATAAGACCTAGTGTGTTTTTTTTAGCTAAAAAAAATATAAGACAGTGTCTTATTTCCGGGGAAACACGCTATGTGAAAAAGAGGCGCTAAGAATCCCACATTGGGAGTGACTCTGTCCTTAGAATGCTCTGATGAGTCGGCTGCCACATGGACAAGGAACTCACAAGCAGGAGGAGGGAGTCTTCAGTGATCTCAATCAGCAACAGACGGGGACATCACCACAACTTGTCCAAAGTGTTTTTTTTTCATTTACATCAACGGGAGAGCCGATGCATTTTGGGGGTCCACAAGAATCCCCCTTCATCAGGGCTGATAAATTGATCTGTTAAAGTAGGACTCCGGGCAAGGGTTAGGTGCTCATTATGTTCTATGGTCTAAAATAAAAAGAGATGTACTCACCAGGCTGGCTGCTAGACCAATCCCAGCAGCCTCTTCTTCCCCGGGCTCCAGGGGTCTAAACCCCACTGACATCATTACAGCTTATGCGGATCCATAAATACATGTTAGTAAGGAGATACAATGTTACAATTCAAGAGACCGCCGGAGGCAATGAGCATATAAATGTAACCATTAATACTCCGGGAATAGCAGTCCTTACATTTATATGCTCATTCTCTTCATGTGCCAGACAGTGACTGCAGCCAATCAACTGCAGTCACTGTTCGCGAGCAATTGCACAGTTTTATAACCTCCTCTCCTGGACTTACATGGCTTACTCTGATTTTACTGCACACTGTGAGCTTCTCATAATGTACATTAGCAGCTGCAATATGTCAGATAGAGATATGAAACCCACCATGTTTCCTGGATGGAAGGGATCCAGCATCATCTAGCGCTTTCCTCCCCAGCTTGACTTTCCTTGGCCCGCCCCTTTCATTCATTGGGTTTAGTTCATTGAATCATGTAACTATGTTGATGAGGTGGGAAAGGAAGAGCCAATTAAACAGTTCACCTCATAAGAAAGTGCCTCTCTCTCTTCTGTCGGTTCAGATGAGATCAGCTTCTGTGAACGCACTGCACATGGGTGGCCCTCAGGGAAAGAATGGCGCCCCCTAGTGGTAGAGCTGTTTGTCTTAATGCCTGGTCCATTCCAGTAAGGCCTGGTTCACACCTGGGCGTTTTACAGCACGTTCCTACGCGCTGTAAAACGCTCAACATGTGAAAATCAATGATTGCCCATGGGCATGGTTCCCACCTGGGCGTTTTATAGCGCGTAGGAACGCGCTGTAAAACGCCCTACGCCCATAGAAGTACAGGAGCTTCTTTGGGGCGTATTTGCCGCGGGTATTCATTAGGATACAGCCGGATAGCCCTCGGAAACGCACATTTGTCGCGCGTTTCTTTTACCACAAATCGCGGTAATAACGCGTGGCATGAAACGCGCGGCAAACGCGCATATTCCGTATTCCCAGGTGTGAACCCAGCCTAAGACAATAGAAGTATTTCTAGCAGGATTCTGGAATTGTGAAAATGGTCTGCAGGTATGTTAGTAGTAGAGAGGCATTGTTCTAAAATCTGATGATCTTAAAGGAGTTGTAAGGTCCCAGCATCTCCTCTCCTGTTATAACTTCAGCATTGTAATAGGAATACATAATAGAGTTGTTTCTGATAATACAATCAAAGCTTCTAGGTAGTGAGCGCTGCCTTTTGTCTGCCCATCACTTCCATCAACTTCCTGGATTCCCAGTGTGCTTTGCGTCTCTTTTCCCTGCTGCTTGATGTGAAGCAATCTCCATTTCTCAAGACTACATATCCCATCATGCATTTTTTCCAGCAAGCAATGATAATGTTACATTGTTCAGTCATTCAGAAGGCAGGCTCTGTGAGACTTATGACACAAAGAAGTTCATATTCACAGGGCTGAGTGAAATGGTGTCAGTGTATTGAGGAAGTCCATCCTACGGGCATCTTTAATAAGTAAGTTTACAAACTTCTAGATGGATCTGGTCATTAGGAGTGGGATGTACCGATACCAGTATGGGTATCAGTGCCGATACTGGGCATCTTCACAAGTACTTGTTAAAATGTCCCATACCAAAAACTTATACCGGTGCTATATTGATTCGCTTGCCTTAGGTCCCGTACTTGATGGAGACTGCACGGCAGCCTTCTTGGGAAGCATGTGGCACCTGTTTACAACGCTTTTGCGAGCCCACACATCTCCTCAACTGAAACCCTCCACACATCTCCTCCTGAGACCCTCTGCAACACTCCCGAGACTCTCCACCTAAGACATCAGGTCGGCACCACAGAGTATGTAACAAATTCATATACTATTATACTTAATTGCTGTATAATGTGATGCTGAGATTTGTAGTCCTCTATACCCAATAGTATTCTGCATTCCTGTCAAATGCGTTGTTGGGATTTGTAGTCCTCTATAGTTGATATTATTCTGCATTGCTGTATAATGTATTGCTGGGATTTATAGTCTTCTATAGGTGATGGTATTCTGCATTGCTGTATAATGTATTGCTGAGATTTATAGTCCTCTATAGCTGATGGTATTCTGAATTGCTGTACAATGTATTGCTGGGATTTGTAGTCCTCTATTGCCAGTGCCATTCTGCATTGCTGTATAATGTATTGCTGGAATTTGTAGTCCCTCCACATCTTGGAGTCAGTGGCAGAACTACCGGGGGCACAGTGGTTGCAGCTGTGACCAGGCCCTGGCTCCCCACCACTGTCCTAAAATCATATAGTCTGTATTGTTTTAGAAAAACTGTCACATGACACTAAATAGAAGGTACCGGTAATTGATATCAGCGAGTACTTGAGGAAAAGTATCTGTACTCATACTTGGTCTGGAAAAAATGGTATTGGTGCATCCCTAAAATTCAGTATAGAAATACATATTGATTTTTAGTTTGACAATAGATACCCTATAAAGAAGAACTCCAGGTATGCAAAATATTACCTGCTCGTTTTGCTCTAGGGGCTGAAAAAAAAGAAGATTCCCAAAGAAGATATATTCACCTGATCCTCAGCCACCCCCCTCTGCTCTGGCTGTGGTATGCCTGGCTGCTAGACTGGTCCCTTCAGCCTCTTCTCTCCTGGGCTCCAGCGGTCTAAGCCCCGTTGGCGTCCTCCTATCTAATGCAAGTGTATGGACTCAGGGCCGGATTTACTCTCTCTGCTGCCCCAAGGCCAGGTTCCTCAATGCGCCCCCCTATCCGCCAACCCCCCCATGGAGAATGGCAGACCTGCAGGCTGCATACCAGTGATCTTGGCGACATCACCAAGATCACTTGTACAAAACAAGCAGAGG